GTGTCCACCGTTTTCTGTGTGACTGTTGGTCACACTAGAATAACCCGTTCTTTCCTCACACAGCCAAACTGTGGAATGCTCTGCCTTCTTCTGTTTTTCCATAATCATACAATCTGTCTTACTATAAAAAGCCGGTTTTCCGGCATCTTCGTGGTGTAGATTAATATAATCTATTTCTTTTTTCTTTTTTATTTCCTTTTACTTTCATTTCTTCGCCCCCTAGGACCCGTTGTGGGTCGATCACCTGTACCCGGGTGGGCTCTTCCCTAAAAAAAAAAAAAAAAAAAAAAAATAATAATAATAATAATAATAATAATAATAATTAATAATAATTAATAATAAAATAAATTACCTTGACATTTAATTCTGCTAAAAAATGCATTATAATAATAATAATAATAATAATAATAATAATAATAATAATAATAATTAATAATAATTAATAATAAAATAAATTACCTTGACATTTAATTCTGCTAAAAAATGCATTATTGTAATTTTTCGGTCACACAAAATCCTCGCCAGAGTTTTTATTTTAAATTAATCTATCCCCCTCCCTACCCCGTCCTTCCTCTCCCCTTCCCCCCGACCTCCCTCTCCCGTTCCCCCCACCTCCCTCTCCCCTCCCTTTTCCCTCCCCTCTCGCCCCCAACTCAATACTATACTATATTGACTGATGTAAAGTAAGGTACACATTCACAGCTTGATGGAATAAGGGCGCCCCGACTGAGATTAAGTCACCCTTAGTACAGAAATAAGTATCGCATAACCCCAAAATAAATACTAACTCATTTATACAATCAATGTGAAAATATGAAATCGTCAATATCTGTAAAAAAAAAATAACCTTGATATTTTCTTGTTTATTGATCGATAGTGTAGTGTAGTGTAGTGTAGTGTAGTGTAGTGTAGTGTAGTGTAGTGTAGTGTCCTCATATACTCAAGATATACAAGTATGTCCTCTCGCTGTATCTTTCAGGTAGACGAAATTCTTTACTATATTGAGCTGACAGACTCGAGAACTTTGGTTTGGTATTCAAGGGGCAGGTTACTACTACTACTGGAGGAAAGACGATAGCACTTTATATAATCTCTTCCTTATGTTGATTGAACCTGATGTACAGTAGAGGGTTTAGTTCAGTGATCTAGCTATATATCAGCTTCTTGAGTATGATGATTTCACCATTTGAGTATGATGATTTTTACCTCTTGAGTATGATGATTTATCCTCTTGAGTATGATGATTTATCCTCTTGAGTATGATTATTAATTTAATTCCTTGAGTATAATGAATTAATCCCATGAGTATGATGATTTCGGTCATCGTATTCAAGGAATTTAATCATCATCGGAATAAGTCGTCATACTCAAAAGGTTGATTCATCGTACTCAGAAGGGTAGGTCATCAAACTTAAGGGATAAAGTCATCGTACTCAGATTTAAGGGATTAATGCATCGTGCTCAGAGTTAAGTCAATGTACTCAAGGGACTAAGTCATCGTATTCAGAGTTAAGTCAGTGTACTCAAGGGATTGAATCATCGTACTCAGAGTTAAGTCAATGTACTCAAGAGATTAAGTCAACGTACTCAAGGGATTAAGTCGTCGTACTGAAGGGATTAAATTATCGTACTCAGAGTTAAGTCATCGTACTCGAGGGATTTAATCATCGTACTCAAGAGGTAAATTGCTAAATACTTCCCCCCGCATCACACTTTACTAACGTGACCTTTGTAATAAATAAAATTCCTGAACTCTGCCATTCGGAAGTGGTCGTGAGAAAACCAAACGGCATATGACAAAGATTGGTTTACTGCCAGGCTGGGAGCTGCTGAGTGCGTCGTGAGTGTGTTGGATAACCGAGTGTGTCTCATACTTGACATTTGTAGTGATTGCATTAAGTGGTGAGTATGTTAGTTGGAGAGTGAGTGTGTTAGATGGTGAGGATGTGGTGAGTGTGTTAGATGGTGAGGATGTGGGGAGTGTGTTTGAGGGTGAGGATGTGGTGAGTGTGTTAGATGGTGAGGATGTGGTGAGTGTGTTAGGTAGTGAGTGTGTTAGATGGTGAGGATGTGGTGAGTGTGTTAGATGGTGAGGATGTGGTGAGTGTGTTAGGTGGTGAGGGTGGTAGATGGTGAGGATGTGGTGAGTGTGTTAGATGGTGAGGATGTGGTGAGTGTGTTAAGTGGTGAGTGTGTTAGATGGTTAGGATGTGGTGAGTGTGTTAGATGGTGGTGTGAGATGGTGAGGATGTGGTGAGTGTGTTAGATGGTGAGGATGTGGTGAGTGTGTTAGGTGGTGAGATGGAGGATGATGAGAGATGGTGGGAGATGTGAGGATGTGGGGTGTGTTAGGTGGTGAGTGTTAGATGGTGAGGATGTGGGGAGTGTGTTATATGGTGATGGTGAGTGTGGTGTGTTATGTGGATGGTGAGTGTGTTAGATGGTGAGTGTATTAGATGCAGGATGTGGGGAGTGTGTTGGGTGGTGAGGATGTGGTGAGTGTGTTAGATGGTGAGTGTATTAGATGGTGAGGATGTGGGAGGTGTGTTAGATGGTGAGGATGTGGGGGAGTGTGTTAGATGGTGAGGATGTGGTGAGTGTGTTAGATGCAGGAGTGTTAGGTGGTGAGTGTGTTAGATGGTGAGGATGTTGGGGGAGATGCATGAGGTGGATGTTGGGAGTGTGTTGATGGTGGGATGTGGTGGTGTGTTGGTGGGGTGTTAGATGGTGGGGAGTGGGAGTGTGTTAGATGGTGAGATGTGGGGGTGTGGTGAGTGTGTTAGGTGGTGTGAGTGTGTTAGGTGGTGATGTGTGGTGTATAGGTGGTGAGGTTGCAGATGGTGAGGAAGTGGGGAGTGTGTTAGATGGTGAGTGTGTTAGATGGTGAGGATGTGGGAGTGTGTTGTGTGTAGATGTTGATGGTGTGTGGTGAGTGTGTTAGGGTGTGTGAGGTGGTGAGCAGATGGTGAGGATGTGGTGAGTGTGTTTGGGTGGTGAGTGTGTTAGATGTGTGAGTGTAAGGTGGTGGGGATCTGGTGAGTGTGGGGTGGTACTGTGTGAGGATGTGGTGAGTGTGTTGGTGGTGAGTGTGTTTAATGGTGAGGATGTGGTGAGGCGTTTGATGGTGAGGATGGGTGAGTGTGTTAGATGGTGAAGATGTGGTGAGTGTGTTAGGTGGTGAGGTGTTTGATGGTGAGGATGTGGGAGTGAAGGATGTGGTTGTGTTGGTGGTGAGTGTGTTAGATGGTGAGGATGTGGTGAGGTAGTGTGTGTTAGATGGTGAGGATGTGGTGAGTAGGTGGTTGTGGTGAGTGGTAGGATGGGAGGTTAGATGTTGTGTTAGATGGTGAGGATGCTGTGTTAGGTGGTGAGTGTGTTGATGGTGTGTGAGTGGGTTAGATGGTGAGTGAGTGTGTTAGATGGTGAGGAGGGATGTGGTGAGTGTGTTAGATGTGAGGATGTGGTGAGTGTGTTAGATGGAGATGAGTGAGTGTGGATGGTGAGGATGTGGGGAGTAGATGGTGAAGATGTGGTGAGGTGTGTTGGGTGGTGAGTGTGTTGATGGTGAGGATGTGGAGTGTGTTGGGTGGTGAGGATGTGGTTAGGTGTGTTAGATGGTGAGGATGGTGAGGTAAGATGGTGAGATGTGGTGAGTGTGTTAGAGATGGTGAGGATGTGGTGGAGTGTGTTAGTGTGTTAGATGGTGAGGATGTGTGGAAGAGTGTGTTAGATGGTGAGGATGTGGTGAGGATGTGGTGGGTGTGAGTGTGTTAGATGGTGAGGATGTGGTGAGTGTGTTGGGTGGGGAGTGTGTGTGGTGAGAGGTGGTGAGTGAGATGGTGAGGATCTGGTGGGTGTGTTGGGTGGTGACTGTGCAGAAGGTGAGGATGTGGGTGAGTGTGTTAGGGTGGGTGTGTTAGATGGTGAAGATGTGGTGAGTGTTGGTGAGTGTGTTAGATGGTGAGGGTGAGTGTGTTAGATGGTGAGGATTTGGGGAGTGTGTTAGATGGTGAGGATTTGGGGAGTGTGTTAGGTGGTGAGTGTGTTAGATGGTGAGGATGTGGTGAGTGTGTTAGGTGGCGAGTGTGTTAGATGGTGAGGATGTGGTGAGTGTGTTAGATGGTGAGGATGTGGTGAGTGTGTTAGGTAGTGAGGCTGTGGTGAGTGTGTTAGGTAGTGAGTGTGCAATGAGTGAATTAGCTGTTAATCAAGTGAGTGTACACTATTTCGTGGGTGCAGTATGTGGTGAGTGCGTCTGATAGTGAGTATATAGTAAGTGTGTGTGTCATATACAACATAACTACGGTGAGTTTATATCAGATTGGAGTGTGTTAGTTGGAGTATGTGTAGTAGTAACCTTGACAGTTTTGTATCATTTAACAGACTCTTGAGTAAAGTGAGTGAAGATTTCGTGACGATAAAAGTTGACAGAGCGAATGTGTCGGGAGGTAAAGCGCGTTATACGTATCTCCAATCTGTAGTGTGTGTGTTGATTACGTCCTCTGATAGAGTGCGTGGCGGGAATATGGTATCTGATAGCTGCTGTGTGATTAAGAGTGTGTGAGGTGAGTCTGTTTGTCCTAGTTGTATGATGTGGTGAAGATATTATCACTTAGAGTGTGTTGAGTGTTGTAGAGGCTTGGTGTGGTGGTGGTTGTTTTGTGTGTGTGTGTCTGTGTGTGTGTGTGTCTGTGTGTGTGTGTGTGTGTCTGTGTGTAATAATAATAATACTAATAATAATAATAATAATAATAAACGGTTTATTAATAGAGTTGCAGCCGGTGGCTGAAAATATACAGACTTACATTAGATTTAGACATAATGATATAATATGCATTGAATACATTTACAGGGCTGTACAGTACATAAATCAGGAGTTGTTTATTATTTTAACAATAGATGGGATGGTGCTTTTCTTATATCTATCGGTGCGGGCTCTGTGTGTGTGTATCGGAACAGAATGCGTGGTGAGTGCGAGGCTCCTCCGCTGTAGTGTCCAGGCACAGTATTGATCACCTGCAGAAGGGAGTCTCGCTTGCATACGTTACCTCGCCCCGCCCACTCACCTCTCCCCCTCCACCTTCATCCACTCTAACATTACTTTCACCCCAAAACACTCCAACCTAACCTAACCTTCAATACCTCACTATTCTCTCTCATCACATACCTAAAGTGAGACCAAAACACTACAAAACACTTCCTGTAGATGGATTTAAGGATTTAAAGTCCCCCCCCCCCCAAAAAAAAAATATTTCCTGAATGGTTGGGGATTCTAGTCGAGTTGTCCAGGGCATCCGACACAGTTTGATGATAATACCTGCGACTTATAAACCAGTGACCAAGTATAGTGTCTGTGTGTTGTTATTTTGTTGACTCGTCTATGACTCACCAATGACTTTGAGTCTGACCCAAGCCACCCGGGAATTAGAGTTATGGAAGTCGACTCGGCAGCGATACACGTGGGCGTCTTCCACCGAGGTACGCATGATGAGCATCGCCGGCGGGTTGAGGTGTGCCAGGTAGTGCACACGCCCCTGGAACACCTGGGGATCCGCCCATGACTCGCCACTCACTCCCAGTCGCTGGTCGTAGCTGAGAAAACAGAGAAAACGGATATCAGAGAAAATGGGTATTAGAGAAAATGAAAAATTTGGTTATAAGGAGACTAACTTAAACAAATGTAATAAATAAATCCAGGTGCACTAATTAAGGTGATTAATAAGTACCTGTAAGGCAAGAATAACTATGAGTACATCTAGGATACAAATAACATCCGAGATTATTAGCTGAGGATAAGTATTCAAAATCCTTATTAATTATAAACCCAAATAAACAAATTATCAGACGCTGTACAAGGCTTTATTGTGATCAAAGATAACTGGTACTAGAGAGAGATAATTATAACATTTACTAAACGAATACATACAAAAAAACACACATATACATACAATAACACACACACACACACACACACACACACACACACACACACACACACGAGAGTTGTTATATAGTTCATGTGTCATTCTTCTCTAAATTATTCTCGAGCTTGTCAAGAGGTGAAGCCCCCGGGAGAATTATGTAAGGTTTGAGACGGATGGTAAATAGCTGACAACTGGAACTGACACTTGGAGCTAACACCTGCAGCTAACACCTAGAGCTGACACCTGAAGCTAACACCTGAAGCTAACACTTGAAGCTAACACCTGAAGCTAACACCTGAGGCTAACACCTGAAGCTAACACCTGAAGCCAACACCTGAAACCAGCACCTGAAGCTAACACCTGGAGCTAATACCTGAAGCTAACACCTGGAGATAACACCTGAAGCCAACACCTGAAGCCAACACCTGAAGCCAACACCTGAAGCCAACACCTGGAACTAACACCTGGAGCTAACACCTGGAGTTGACACCTGGAGCTGACACCTGGAGCTGACACCTGAGCACACCTGAGCTGACACCTGGAGCTGAACACCCTGGAGCTAACACCTGAAGCTAACACCCGGAGCTGACACCTGAAGCTGACACCTGGAGCTGACACCTGGAGTCAACACCTGAAGCTAACACCTGGAGCTACCACCTGAAGCTAACACCTGAGGCTAGTACCTGAAGTTGACACCTGGAGCTAACACCTGAAGCTAACACCTGGAGCTAACACCTGGAGCCAACACCTGGAGCTAACACCTGGAGCCAACACCTGGAGCTTACACCTGAAGCTAACACCTGAAGCTAACTCCTGGAGCTAACATCTGGAACTAAAACCTGAAGCTAACACCTGGAGCTAACACCTGAAGCTAATAGCTGGAGCTAACACGGAGCTAACATCTGAAGCTTACACCTGAAGCTAACATCTGAAACTAGCACCTGGAGCTAACACCTGGAACTAACACCTGAAGTTGACACCTGAAGCTGACACCTGAAGCTGACACCTGGAACTAACACCTGAAGTTGACACCTGAAGCTGACACCTGAATGTTTTGATGAGTGTGTAATTGGCTGATTAAATAGTCTAAGTTACACCCACATTCATGACACCATTAAGACACCGCTCAGTGTGCTCCCATAAGACTTGGGGCCATTAGAATCTTCTTGCTCCATTCAACATCAGTTATAGTTATACAATCACATTTTTTCCTGTGAGATTATTTTTTTTCTCTGTATTCTGTGTCGTGTTATTGACTGTATCCTTAGTTACGTTTGAGACAACAGATACCTATGGTAATATGGTGAAGTACAGTACCATGGTTATTGAAGGTTACTATTGAGTGGCGTCACCTATTAGAAATGACGTTATCTGCACCATATACCTGAACTCCTACCTATTTAATTAATATTCTGGTTCTCTCGTCATATATAAGTCACTTTACATACACTCTCTACCAAAAGGGATTAAATTCTGACTTTATTTAATTATTAATTTCATTTATTTTAGGTAAACGAAAGTGAATTATTAATTTATTTTTCTCTTTATTATATACGTTGATTTTGTGTTTAATTCAGTGTATTGTTAAAAAGAAGGAAACTCATATAAAAAAGGATTTGAATATGAAAGTGAACACAAAGGACTAATCTCTCTCTCTCTCTCTCTCTCTCTCTCTCACCTTCACTACGCCGGTATAAAGTCAGCCAGACAGAGTGGTAGGCCTCAATAATTGCCCCAACAATTAAAACCAGTAATTACTCAGAGTTGGTGAGGTCGACGATGACTTTTATATCTTAGTGTGTGTGTGTGTGTGTGTGTGTGTGTGTGTGTGTGTTAAGCATTATATTATGCTCCACTAACCTATCCTAACCTAACCTAACCTAACCTAAGTCTTACAGGTCACTCTAACACCATGACAACGAGATAAGAACGACCCAAACTGTTTCTCTTCACGAATAACAAAGACATTCTTAGTTCATGACAAAAACACATGTATTTCACCTCATTAACCTGTGAGGATTATTTAATGTTACCTGTGGGTCACCTGTCCTGATGATGCTTTGGGTACATACATACATACATACATACATACATACATACATACATACATACTATTGCAATAATATATTTAAAAGGAGAAGAACGACAGTAGGTGAATTTGTAACACTTTTCGACCTGTCTACTTTATGATGCAACATTGAGCGTGTCAGAACGGTCTCTCTCTCTCTTCCTCTCTCTCTCTCTCTCTCTCTCTCTCTCTCTCTCTCTCTCTCTCTCTCTCTCCCTCTCTCTCTCTCTCTCCCCCCCCCTCTCTCTCTCTCTCTCTCTCTCTCTCTCTCTCTCTCTCTCTCTCTCCTCTCTCTCTCTCTCTCCCCCCTCTCCCTCTCTCTCTCTCTCTCTCTCTCTCTCTCTCTCTCTCTCTCTCTCTCTCTCTCCCTCTCTCTCTCTCTCTCTCCCCCCCTCTCTCTCTCTCTCTCTCTCTCTCTCTCTCTCTCTCTCTCTCTCTCTCAAACTACTGCTTCAAATTATCAACACAAGTCAATATAACACACACACACACACACACACACACACACACACACACACACACACACACCCCACACACACACACACACACACACACACACACACACACACACACACACACACACACACCCAAACACGCCTCTTGATCAGATGAATCCAGTTAAGTTCTTCTTCAGATCAGAAGAATCTAAATTAGAAGATTTTTCTTTTTTCTTACTTTCTCTAATCCCAGGTGATCATAGGGTACCCAGGAACGCTTGAGGGAGGGAGGTAGGGCAGTGGGCAGGACTCTGTAATGGGTGTGTCCAGAGGCAAATATTTGGTTACAAGATGAGAGTCTTCGATATCTCTCTCTCTCTCTCTCTCTCTCTCTCTCTCTCTCTCTCTCTCTCTCTCTCTCTCTCTCGTTTCCTCCTTCTTACTTTTCCTCTACTGTCACTCAATTCCTCTCCCTTCCCTCTTCTTTCTCTCCTCCCCTCTCGTCTTTCTATCTCCTTCTTCCTTCCTCTTTCCGTCTTCTCACTCACTCTCCCATCCCTTCTCTCCCCCGTACCTTTCACCTTTCCCACTTTTCCTTCCCCCTTCCCCCTCTCCCTCTTTCCCTCACCCCTTTTCCTTCCCATCCCTTCCTAGTCTATCTTCTCTCTCCTCACCTTAGCCAAAAGGAAAGTTGTGTGATGAAAGTGTGAGTCCACGATGACAAGAATCAGAGATGTAAGATTATATCGAAGTAAATTATCTTGTCTTTCCTTATTTCGTTGTTTTTATTCCTTGTTTTTCATCTTCGCTTTCGTTTTACTTATCAATTATCTCTCTTCCTCTACGCTATATAGATGGACGTGACATCTTTGGGCTCCACACCTGGCCAAATGTTGCCAGGTAACATGGGATGGACTCGCACTGAATACAAGTCGGGGGAAAACGTAGATGTGCAAGATGTATTTGTCGTTAACCTTTAACCTTGTCATGCCATTTCAATAAGGTCATAGAAGGTCACACACTCTACCTAGTGCGTCGTGGTGCGTCATTGTAAGTTCTACTGCGTCATAGTGTGTTACGAACAGCTTACCTCACTGTTTTTGTATGACGTGTGGTGTGTGACGTGTGGTGTGTGACGTGTGGAGTGTGACGTGTGGAGTGTGACGTGTGGAAATGACGTGTAGAGTGTGACGAGTAGTGTGTTGTGTGGAGTGTGACGTGTGGAGTGTGACGTGTGGAGTGTGACGTGTGCAGTATGACGTGTGCAGTATGACGTGTGCAGTATGACGTGTGGAGTGTGACGTGTGCAGTATGACGTGTGGAGTGTGACGTGTGCAGTATGACGTGTGCAGTATGACGTGTGGAGGTATGACGTGCGGTATGACGTGTGGCGTATGACGTGTGGAGTATGACGTGTGGAGTATGACGTGTGCAGTGCCGGCGTGTGCAGTATGACGTGTGCAGTATGAGCGTGTAGTATGACGTGTGGAGTCTGACGTGTACGGTATGACGTGTGATTATGACTGATGTGGCGTATGACGTGTAGATATGACGTGTGCAGTATGACGTGTGCAGCATGACGTGTGCAGTATGACGTGTGCAGTGTGACGTGTGGAGTATGACGTGTGCAGCATGACGTGTGCAGTGTGGAGTGTTTACATTGTGTCTGTTGTTAAGTGTTCTATTTATTTAAATTTCCTCGTATATATATAACCATTTATATTTGTTTCGAGGTTTAGTTTATATAGCTCTTTGGAGTCACGTACTGTATATGAATGTATATGTAGGTTTATATGGGTATGTTTGAGTGTATGTATATGTAGATTTATATACGTGTGTTTGAGTATTATGTATATGTCTACATTGGTGTCTCTCCTTACACTCACTTGAATTATAAACACAGTGGAGAAACATACCTGAAACCCTCATATTTCACCCTTACAGCTCATCCTCACACCTCACCCTCACACCTCATCCTTATACCTCATCCTTACACTTCATCCTTACACCTCATCCTCATACATCGCCCTCACATCTCATCTTTACACCTCACCCTCACATCTCATCCTTACACCTCATCCTTACACCTCATCCTTACACCTCATCTTCACACCTCACCCTCACACCTCATCCGTACATCTCATCCTCACACCTCATCCGTAC